ATCAGTTGGGAGTTGGGTTTGGCAATTGATTTGGAGTGTACATTTTTAACTTAATAACAATGCGAGAAAAAGGACATCTTACCTCCACCAGGTTCAAGGTCAACCTCCTTCTCCAGCTCTCCTATTTGTGCAGCCGGTACACCGGTGTAGTACGAGGCGTTGGCCGTCAGGCTGACTGTGACGTGACGAGGTTCCGTACTGGTGTTCTTCATGTACAGGGTGATCCCGATGTCTTCTCCCATTTTGATCTATGTATAGAACCAACATCATGTTATAGAAAACGTACTATTGCAGTGTGTTACCATATTTGGGCTCGAGTCATCAGAATGGCATGCAGAGCAAGGAACCAATAGGCATGCAGCTTTCCTCCATTCTTCTTGCTGATTGGCTGTTGGGATTTGATTGGGTTAACTCAATTAACACCTGTACAAAGCCATGCCATATTGACAGTATGAAATGCATTCAAGTGTTATGATAGGTATGTCAAGCTTTCCTGCTCCAGCATTCTTTTTATCTTGAAAATCAACAGTTTGCATTATGCAATTAAAAATCCTAACTAATTATGTAGGGGATAGCTATCCAACTGTTGTTACTTCATACTATACTTATATCAATGTAAATTGTTTTCCCTTGTGTTCTCCTGCTTTCCCTTGCCAAGTCGTAAAATGTGGTGAAGCCACCCGCTACATTTGCTCCAAAGCAAATGTCGGCCTTTCTAGTTATTCATTGAATGTTCGCCTTGACCCACAACTTTCAGTAACGCGCTTACCTCTGCTAAGGTGTTGACCCAAAACTCCACGTCGGCCTTCTTGACGACGTCCTCATAGACACCCGGATTGGAGCCGTACCGCGCGGCCTCGCGGACTGCCACCCGCTCCTGGTCCGAACCTGCGGGACAGATATTATATCGCCGCGTCAATTACCTCCATGAAAAAAGGAGGTAATCATTTGGCTTGTCTGTGTGTGTGTGTGCCTGTGTGTGTGTCTGTCTGTCTGTCTGTGTGTGTGTGTGTGTGTGTGTGTGTGTGTGTGTGTGTGTGTTTCCGCAACTTTGTGGTCATCATAGCTTCAGAACGCCTTTATGGATTGTGATGATATTTGGTATGTTGGTAAATCTTTGGAAGACAAAGGTCAAGGTAAAGTATGGATCTCCTGGTGGATGACCTTGGTACTGCAGCAGAACTTCCGGTTTTTGTATCTTTTGTCCTGAACATGCTATGGTCTTGACTTTTTGGTGACATATAGCTTTTTTTGTCAGGAATAAGTGGTGTAAGTTCGTTCCCCCTAGCGGCTTGTTCTGGAACTGCAGGGGGCTTTCTGGCAATATCTTTTAAAGCCGATAAGCCGACTTTTTTGGGCCATTTGGTTATAACTTGACATTGTAGAAGACACGATCTCTTGGAGAGAAAGAGTGGACATAGAGTCAATGATGCTGTCGGTGATGATAATGATGATGATGACGACAACGACGACTGATGATGATTATGACGACGTATATATAATTTTCATATATTTGTATAATAGATTTCTTTGATAAACGAATAAATAAAAAATAAATAAAATAATAGATTTCGACAATGATCCATCAGATGAGACTCTGCAACAGTACTAGTACACTAGCACTCAATGTACGTGACAGTAGGAGATGAGTATAGTGACCGACCTTCTGGATGCTTGTAGTTCTCGGTGATGTCTTCCCTCTCGTTAGAGCCCACTTTCTTGGTGCTGATGTTGTTGCCGACAGCGCTCTTATCCACATGACGCTTTATAATGATCGGCATGTATTCCGGATCATCATAAACCTAATAGGACAAAGTAAGAAATGGATTTACTTTGAGACACGTAGAGACAATAAGCCAGTACTTTGCTCATTCTAGAGGGCTTGGGCGTGAATTTAGGCCACAGCAAGTCGTTTTTATGGATGACCAGAGAGATCAAATTTACAGAAAGATTAAATTTTCAACGACCACTGTCGCCTTCATCAGAATAATGAATGACCAATCACTTCAAAACGTAATCTCGCGAGAGGTACGGTTCCAAACACGTGACCTTATTCACACGAGACTTTACGGATACGGATTGATCAAGGTAGCAGGACACATTTTCCGGCCTATGGGGATACCTCGACGCGGTAAAAAAATATAATAGGGTGCAAAAGTTAGGTACAGAACTTGGATATGTTTGCGTTAAAGGTATAATGTATAAAATATGTGAAAATCGGCTAAAGTTTGTCGGCTAGTTCACTCGTGACGCAATCTTTTAAAAGCGCTATGCGGAAGGTCATGGAACTGCAGCAAGCGCACAGCACTAGGCTGTGACAGTAACAAGGCGCAAATCTACGCTAACCGAACAAAGGTCAAATTTCAACTTTTACAGTCTCCAAACTGACGTATTCCTCTAACATTTACCACAGGTTCCATCTCGATGCCATGCACAGAACAATCTCTGCACCTTTCTCTAGTATTGTGCAGCACTACTTTCTGCCCGGACTACTTACGGGGTTCGCCCATAAATACTGTGTTGTGCGGCCTTACCTGGAAGACCATCCTGTCAGCGTTCACAGCGGCGAACACGAACCTGGTGTCGAATGGCAGGTAGACTTGTCCGTTCTTTATTGCAGCCACGGGACACGGGCCGCACTGCATCACTCCTGCAGGCAGTAGTTTCAAGATATTGAACATTGTAGAACAAGAGGCATTTCAAAACCTACCAGAAAACTTTGCAGTTAAATTTCTTTATCTATGTTTGTATAACGTCTGTATTTGTGGGTCATCTACGACCGGTTTCGACTGCCTTGATTACCCATGTTCTGATGTGATGTCAGTCCCCAATAAAGAAAAGTAAAAATAAAGTAAAGAATGGTTTGAATATATAGCCTCACCGTTGCTGGCTTGTTGCGGCGTGGAGTCCACCGCCTGCCAGCCTCCGTACCCCACGGGTAGGTCAGGCCGGGCCATCCACGCCTCGTTCCACAAGTGGAACATCCTAGCAAGACAGAAAAAAACATTCAAAACTAGAGAAGTAACATTTACCTTCGGACATGGTCTGCTCTGTTAATTCTTACTCAAACACATTCACATACATGTACTACTAGTATATGGTGACAGGAGCATTATGTAACCCAACACCAGTCACCATGGTGACAGACGTCAACAAATCATGTCATTGGTCAGGTCATACATGTAGGTCGCGACATAGTACAAGAAGAGGAAGAAACTGAGTAAAAACAAGATTTTCCTTCGGTCAACATAACTAACCAATTGGCAATTGATACATGATACTATAGACAAAGTTTTTTATCTATCTCTTTTGGAAGAACGCTTATTTTTCCTTGAACGGCACGATTTTGATTCCGTGGGATTTTCCAGCAGGCTGTGACAGAACCAACTGCCAACACCACAACAGGCCCTATCCTGCTTTAAGCCGGATCGAGCCGGATCAAACCGAATCGGCTCGATCCGTACAATGGGGCCTAAGCTGTCTTGGTACCGAAAAAGTTGTGACAATATTTTCGGTACCAAGACAGCTGAATCTTGTACATGTACGACACCTGCACGGCTAACCCAAGAATGCTCTCCTTTGGGATTATACGACAATCGTGCGTGACAGGGCCCTTACCAAATACTGTCGCCCGACTGCAGAGGCCTGCCCTGGTCATCCACGTACACGTCCAGAGTGAGGGACGCGTCCCTGTCTACTGCCGAGTCGAAGTTGGTGATGCTTCTGGCCGGGATGCCCAAACAACGGAGCACTGGAGCCAAAACAACAAGGTAAGATAAGTAAAGGAGTGAAGAAGGGGTTGTACATTCTGGCCAACCGCCCAACACTGAACAGAGACGGGGGGCGACACAGGTTATCTGACACGTACGACCCTCGGCTAAAAGCACGTGTTTCCGACGTCACGTCCCGGAAGCTGCAGTAGAAGGGTAAGGGTAAGTCCCAATTTACTCACTAGTGTTGGTCTGAAAGTTTAGCCCTTTCTGTCATGATGAAGTATACCGACACAGATGAACTTTCATTCTTAAGTAAGATAGGAAACCTCAGCCAAGGGGGGGGGGTGTCCAAATAGATCCTACGGTGGCAAGACACTATCTATTGACCTATGGATACTGTCTTGCCACCGTATGATCTGCTTGGAGATTAGATATATAGGATAGTGTTAGTTCGCTTTAAATCACACAATTCAGCCGGCTTAATGGCTGCAAAGTGGTGTCGTTGTGTACTGTGTTATAGTGCTGTAGTATATAGTATTGTGTTTGTAATAAACCAATGATATTAGTCAGAGACACCTCCGTAAGCATGTTTACTTCAAACATCGAAAAACCCTAATAAGAAGCCCCAGTCCCTTACCTGTGGTCAGAACACCAGAGAGGCTCAGGCACTCCCCGTACTTGACCGGCTGGCGCTCTCTGTACCACTGCAGCAGGATCTCCACACTGCCGTTCCAGCTAGTGGGAGGTGTCCCATCCAAGTACGGTCCAAACGGCTTTCCTACCAGAACTCCGCCGTCGTCGTCAGCGTTGACCTGCATCAATCGGACAATCAAGCCTATTTCTTTACTCATTCGTAACAACCCACCAACCTACAATCTACAGGCTTTCAAATCAAACGTTCACCGTCATCTCTTGACATAGCCACGTTTCTCTCATATTTCTAGCTCAATGCCGTGAAGTGGTCGTATAGGCCTTGCATTGGACCAATCCGTTAAAAAAACGTTTGGCTGCATGTATGCCCGAAAAAAATCATCTGAAAGTAGTATCCTCTTTGCGGCAAAATTACCGACAATGCTACAAAAATTCGGTAATTTCAGAATATGCTACTTTTACTCTAAAACTGTCACCGAACATACAAACATGGCGACGGGGTTGTGTAGATAGAAAAATCCAACAGAATTGTTCATGTTCTTCAGTCTTCAAGGGTTAACCGATATTAAGATCCTTAAACCGACCGGCCGTGGTTTAAGAGTGAAGGGAAGCTAAGTACACCCAGAAACCAGGATTGCCAGCAAAATACACCCTCCAAGAGCCGTCAAGGATAGACTTAGTTTGTAAAAAAAACTAAACACCAAGGATTGAGGTGTTCAAGAATGCATTATTTCCTAGAAGTATCGCAGAGTGGAACTCACTGTTACCAAGTACAGTAGGGGCATTGTCATAAGATAGCTTCAAACAATGTCTAGAGTTAGATGTCCATGGGCTAGGTGTAATGTAGCCAGCTGCCGCCGCGCCGCGTGCCTACGAAGCTGGTGTGTTACGCCGCGCCGAATGGCAGTTATACCGGCTATGCAGATACAGATAAAGAACGTGGCTACTCACCATTTTGGACATGGCCCTGCTGACCCACACGGCTGTCCGTTTGGAGTTATCCGTGAGTCCGGACATCTCCAGCAGCATGAGACACACGTCCAGGATGCCCGGCTCAAACTGTTTGGGACGGGAACGATTGTGGAAAAGGTAAGCCACCGATGAAAAACAACTGATTTTACAAATGATTATTAACCAATTAATTGGTCGTTTTGATCAGTGAAAGATCATGGACAGGTCAGTGAAGATAAACTTCTTCAAAGATTATTTTCAGATCATTGACAGATCATTGTGAGATATCGATATTGGATGACCGTTGTGACGAGATTATTGTACCCTCACTGAAAACTGCACAAGTTGGATGTGACTTGTTTTTCAATCTTCAATCTTTCGGTTACTTTTCTCGTCTCTGCGGAATTCCCACTTACAATAGTCGTTATGAATACGTATTTTACTATCATGAAAGTTCATCTGTGTTGGTATACGTATAGTTACATGTTTAAAGTTAAAACTTTTGGTCCAACACATTATCTCACCTAGAGATTCCGACCAGTCACTCTGGTTCAGACGTCACACTTCAAAGAAGCAACGTGACAAGCCTCACTGGGTCAGTCGACTGAAGAAGCCCAGAGTGACTGGTCGAAAGCTCTAGGTGACGGAATATTTGTGTTGGACTTAAAGTTGTAACTTTAAACAATACGTATTTTATTTTCCTTGAGATGATCATGTAGAGATGGTCTCAACAATGCCGCTGTTGTAATGTAGAATGAATTCGGACGATTTGGGGAAATATGGTCTTACAAAAGCTGTGACAAGGATCTATAGTATGACATTACCTGTCCGAAGATCCAGGGCCGCTGGCTGATGTTGTTCTTGTTCCCAAAGTACTGGTACCCTTGCTCGTTCAGCACGTACTCCTCTAGTTTGGCGTCATCATCCAGGTACGTCTGATCGTCTGAAATGGATTTTTTTAATCCATTATTTCTTGAGTAGACATGGTACGGCACAATATCAAGTTATATCAACTTATTTTCATGCCACCGCCATCGCAGATCGAGGACAAATACACGACAGGACAATACTCATTTTCCCTGGAGTTAAGTGAGGAACCCCGTGTAAAGTATGAATTTTCGATCGTTTCCAAAAAATGTTTTCGACCATACTGTAAATCGTACAACAGTTGAAAAAGGAGAAACCGTAAGTTGAAAAAAATATTTGAAAACGATACCAATGTCGTAGAATACCAAAATCAGACGAAAAAGACGAAGATGTAAAGAAATGAATTTGAAGAGTAGATTATTCGCCATACCATACTGTGTCGTTTGTTCAACCTTCATGACCATGAACATTTCATAATGAAAGCAACGTTTTTTTGCAAAACGTTTTTATTCGCACGCTCGCATCAGTTTTGGTGTTCCCAGTGGATGTCACCCATATAATCAAATCAACTTGGCCTAAGCCTTAAGTTTCAAATATTTAGCTTTAGGCACTGTGTTAGCGAAAACAAGCTTGCCTTTGCACCACGGGTTGAAGAGGACGACCATGGAGCTCTTGATGACATGTCCGCTGCGGAACCTCTTGCCGCCCGACGTCGTCTCGGCGATCATGGCATACCTGCCGACGATGGCGTCAGCAGGTGACGTGATTTGCACCTGTAACAACAAGACACCAAAGGTTTGTGGCGAAACATCTATCATGGCCATCTACGTGGCGTCGGGTGGTGTAGTGGTTAGAGCAATCGACTATGAACCGGGGAGACCCGGGTCGTACCCGGTACATGTCTGAACATGCGCCCCGACGTTGTGTCCTTGGGAAAGGCACTTAACACGACTTTCCTCACTCCACCCAGGTGTGAATGGGTACCTAACTTCGGTTGGGGAAAGCCGTATTGAGGTCACCTTGTGGCGCCGAATGGCAGCCGCTCAGACCCTTGCGACAGTTCCACAAAAAATAATTGTGGAACAAATATGTGTATCATTTGATTGTTGTAATTGTTGTGATTTGTATTTATTATGTGTGATACCCTGCATCAATTCAGCCGTATAAATGCTGCGACTGCACGGGTACTGTTTGGACAATAAAAAAAAAACATTTATTATGGCACCTAGAGCCCAACTGGGCCTCCACCGCGTTCAGATTCAGATTGTTACCAATCCTATCGGCAATTACCTGTCAGCATCGTCAACATTTACCATGCATTCTTTGCGATCGTTCTTAGCGACAACGTCCTGTCCTGGCAAATTCAAGGCACAGTAGTACACGTTTGTAACTTCTACCCCTTCACACTAGAGGTGGAATACCGTCTGAATGAAATTTTTTCGATATAGCCTTGATGTTTGAAGTGCATTCTAGAAGTCCTGCATTGCATTCCAGATATTCGTTAAGCCACGGTCACAACCCGCCGTACGTGCTTCTGCGTGCTGTCTACGTGCAAAAGCGTGGGCAAACGTAGGACATCCGTGCGTGGTGAGTACCACCTCCGTATGGAATACTACGGATTTGGGAGCACGCAGAAACGCCGTAGAAGTGCATGTAAAACTTTTTCTACGTGCGGTCTGCGGATTCACCACCCGTGCGTGCGAGTACGAGAGACGCGAGTGCCCCGTACGTGCCGTGCGGAAGAAGCACGTGTGAGTACGGCCTCCTTACGGTAAAGTGGCAATCGCACAGAGATCGTACGTTGTAAGCACGTACAACTCACTTACCACTTGCGCAACGTACGATACACGCAACCGCTCACGGCCAGACTTGGCGTGCAGGCCACACTCTTACACTTTGTGCAACCGTGTGAGTGACGTGCGAGTGACGTGCGTAGACGCCACTCCTTCCCCACGTTTTCAGAAAAAACGTAGCAGACGTAGCCTCCCAAAAAACGTACGGACAAAAAGCACGCACGGCGGGTTGTGACCGTCGCTTTACTATTCTTGTAGACGGCCTGAATGTTTTTCTCCAAAAAAAATGGAGGTGGCGAAATATCGGTCTATTCTAACTGCAGTATTAATGAATTCTAAGCATGAATTCATACAGTATTCTAACAGCACGAAACATTGTGGTCAAAGTCTAGTATATATTCCCGTGACGCCGCCAGTAAAAATGCTGTGAATCTTCACCTTAACGTTCCGGCCTTCTGCCTTCTCCACCGCAGCGCTCCACTCGCCTTCCTTCAGGGCGTCTTCCACAGGCAGCCTTAACAGGGTGCCTTTGTTCGGCAGGGGGTTGTTGCCTGTTGTTGCACATGGAATTGTAATTGTTTCAGTCGAGATGACAACAGAATGCAAACACAGTCAAACCTGTACCAGTGACGCCCATGTGAAACCTTCTACATTGCTTTTGTAAATCGCTAGGTGGTGCTAATGTATGGTCCACTCCGATCCGTTACCGTTTGCATCAAATCTTTTGAGGTGGCCACTGTTAGGCACCACTGCAACAACCTGTGTATATTGATTCATCGCTACCACGAGCAAGTAGGGTATCTAACGGCTGGGCCTTTTTACTGACAGATTATTTCTCCTACCTCTCTCTTTCTCCCCCCCCCCTCTCTCTCTCTTTCCTCCCTCTCACTCTCTCCTTCCCCTCTCTCTAGCCCCCCTCTCGCTCTCCCTCTCTCTCACTCACCTCAATCCCTCTCTCGCTCTCTCTCTCTCCCTCTCTCGCTCTCTCTCGATCTCTCCCTCTTTCCCTGTCTCTCCTTACCCCCCTCTCTCTCTCTTTCCCTCCCTCTCTCTCCTCTCCCTCTCTCTCGCCCCCCCTCTCGCTCTCCCTCTCTCTCACTCTACCTCCCCCCTCTCCCTACTTCTCTGTCTATCCCGATTTATGATACAGATAAAGATGTTCTAAACTTTAAAACATGTATGAAGTTTGACATATAACGTTAACTTACCAAACTGTAGCTCGATGACCAGCTTGTCGTTCTCCTGGTTGAAGTCCTTGTGGAACAGCAGCCCGACGGAGAACGGCTGACCGCGCCTGACCACGAAGTTCTCCTCAAACTCGTCCGTGTGGTGCGCGGGCCCGTTCTCGTCCTTCTGAAAGCTGATCCCCATCACACGGAGTGCGCCATTGGCGCTGGCAGCTAGGTAGGAATCAAGGGAATTGTGATCGACTTTATCAGCTTTGCCAAGACTATATTACTGCTAAAGTCTCCCAACCCATTTATTTTTCAAAGCTAGAGTCGGACAATTCATCTCCCACTGCCTCCTGAGCAGAAGTCAAACCCCCTAATAGCATGGCAAGAATAGTACAATAGAATAGAATATAATAGCAGTTATCCACTGTTTATCCTGTATACCAACGTTGTTAGATTTAAGTAGAGATGGTAGGTTAAATAAGTAGATCGTATACGCAGAACTTCATGTTAGCATATAGTTTCATATCACTACATTCTGTACTCATTGCTCTTGCCAACGTCTGTTTACAATTAGCCCTCGCTCGGGCATGAACTTGTAATAAAGAACTCGTATGTTTTGACGTTTGACGCGATGCTTGTTCGTGGATTAGTGCATAATGTCGATACTATTAGCTGTATACTTTTTTTTACTTGATTGAAGTGTCAAAAACTTTTCTTTCTATCTTTACCGACAACTGGAAGGACTTTAGCCTCGACCAGGCCTATCAACGTGAGTTCCATCCGAAAACGTAGAATTCGGCAAAAAAAGGGGGAAAACTGTCAAGGAGAGTCGCTCGAAATGCGCGAAGGACTTCTTAAACGGTTTTGTTTGTCTCTAAGTAATCTCCTGTATTTATTACCTTCGCCAAGAAGGTTATGTTTTCAGTAGCGTTTGTCTGTCTGTTTGTCTGTGAACAGCATAACTCAAGAAGCTTAGTATGCATTGTCATGAAACTTGGTAGGTGGGTAGGTCTTGATGAGACCTAGAAATGATTAGATTTTGGGCCCCCTGGCGGATTTTGTTGGTACTGCAGCAGAACTTCCGGTTTTGATATCTCGCGATCTGGACATGCTAGGGTCACGAATTTTGGTTAGTAGATAGCTTTTGAGATAGGGAAGAAGTGACATGAGTTTGGGCCACCTAGCGGCTTGTTCTGGAACTGCAGGAGCATTTGTTGAAAAATTTTCGATGGATGATAACTCAAGAACCGGTTGACGTATTGTCGTGATTTTTGGTATGTAGGTAGCTGAAGGGATGATTAACATAATCAAATGACAATTATGCAAATCAGAAGCTAATTTGCATAATTAATGAGGAAATTCTATAAATCTGCTTTGTTCGATAATAGGACTATGAAACACTTGTGACATGTAATTGAGAATGAAAAAAACATCTGAGGATATAGATTATGTATATGAAGACCTAATTTGCATAATTAATGGAAAATTTTTATAATTTCATAGTTGTAACTGCTGGGAATTTCATACTTGCCACATTTATAAGTTAAGTGAAGGCGAACACCAATAAACATAATTTATTCAAATCATGACCTCATTTGCATAATTTATGAGGAAGTGCTATAACAGCCTTTTTGATAAGACTGTCATTGGGTGGAGAATATGATCAACTGATATAACCCATGCAAATGAGGATCTTATTTGCAAAATCAATTATCATAATTGTATAATTCTTCAACCGCAAGGGTTAACATAATTTGGCGAAGGTATGAGGTCGTGGAACTCTTGTTTTGTATAATTTGGTTACCTGCGTTATTTATGTTTTACATACAATTCTCTGTTACTTCTGTTTAAGTATTAACTTATGTTTTATCATTTCTGTAAACTGGGCCCCACTGAAAATCAACTTGTCAAAGCTGAGTTGGGCTACCCAGGTGTGTGAAAATGAAATAAATAAAAAAAATTAATAAACCATTAGGCCACACCAAGTAAATTTTATGGATGACGTCCTTTGGAGACACTTAAATCTAATGCGAGAGGGCGAAAAAAAAACAAGAAGGGCCCTAAAAAACAAGATGCCTAGATAAGAAATATACTAAGAGACGACAAATGTTAGGACACAAATTGAATGAGGTGACACAGTGTAACAAGCAAGAAGTCTTTTATTAATCATAAAAACAGCAATAAATCAGGTGGAACAGTGGACAGTGAAAAATGTCTGTTATTGACAGGTTGGTCCTGTCAATGGTGCAAATTTTCTGTTATTGACAGGACGGCCCTGTCAATAGACACTTTCTTCGCGTTACGGGTTTCACGTCAATCTGACGATTTGCGGCACTGTCGTGACTCTTTGATCATAGTTACAGGAAGCGGAATTTCTTGTGTTTTTTTTTTCTAGGAAGAGGCCAAAATCAATGCGCGCGCGGACGTCATCTATAAAATTTACTTTGTGTGGCCTTAACGTTACGTACATACGCTACATGTAGATTGGGACTCAAAGATGACCTCTGTCCTATTTAAACTGATCAATGGTGCGTGCATACAAAAACTGGTTGGGCACCTTTATTCTCCGTCTTATAAATGCAAAATGCCTGCGTAATTACAAAAGAATTTCCATACGTTTTAAATGGTTTAAAGAGGGCGTCAGGCGTAGGTAAATAGGTCGTCAGACAAGTGGGCGATATCTAAAGCGCACAGTTTTCGGCAGTAATACGGTGGGTGTGTCTCAATCACTGCGCATATTTTAGGGTCTCAAGAGTCACTGAGACCCGTCCAAATGTGACAGAGTAGATTTTCAGGCAAAATACTAGTACGTCGAATCTATGACAATTTATTAATATTATGGCAATCCGCAAATTCGACCGAAGGTACTTTCCAGAGTTTTGAGTCCTCGGAATTTCTTTGCAGTCGAAGGAACAGGATATACAAGGGTTTGCTTCATGTAGCGTCTTGCTCTAGTTTCCGACTTTATCCCGCAAGAATGTCTTACAAGAACCGATTCCAAGTGTTAGATTTCCAACACACTTTGTTAGAAGTAGATTATGGCCATCTACAGCCGTTAAAATGTGTTTCTTCAATCTGTTCTACTTCGTCTTGAAATTGAACATACATATATCTAGATGTGCGGTGACGTGGAATAGCTAGCGGCTAGGCCACCAGGACACGAGGTTGAGAGGTTGCTTTACTCGTACATGTGGTTTCCGCCGAAGCCGGTTTCAAGTGGCCCCATCTGAACGCTCCAAATCACATTGAAAGCGCCTCGATCCCAAACCACTTCGGGAGGTGGTTTCGAACCGGTTTTCCCTCTTATATATACAAAATGCCTGCGTAATTACAAAGAATTTCCAAAAGATAGATTTTAATTAAGGGGCCAAGCGTTTAAATGGGCGCTGTTAAATAGGTCGTCAGACAAGTCGGTGATATCCGAAGCGCACGTCTTCGGCAGTAATGCGGTGGGTGTGTCTCAATCACTGCGCATATGTTAGGGTCTCAAGAGTCACTGAGACCCGTCCAAATGTGACAGAGTAGATTTTCAGGCAAAATACTAGTACGTCGAATCTATGACAATTTATAAATCTTCTGGCGATCCACAAATTCGACCAAAGGTTGTTTTGAGTTTTGAGTCCTCGGAATTTCTTTACAGTCGAATGAGCAGGATATACAAGGGCTTGCTTCATGTAGCGTCTTGCTCTAGTTTCCGACTGTATCCCACAAGAATTTCTTACCAGAAACGATTCCAAGTGTTAGATTTCCAACACTTTGTTAGAAGTAGATTATGGCCATCTACAGCCGTTAAAATGTGTTTCTTCAATCTGTTCTACTTCGTCTTGCAATGGTACATACAGCACAATATGTGAGGTGGCGAAGAATGGCTAGCGGCTAGGCCACAAGGACACACGAGGTTGAGAGGTTGCGGGTTAACATTCGGGCTAAACGTCGTGCCTTGGGAAAGGCACTTAAAACGGATATAAAATGAATACCTGACCTCCGTTGGGGACGTATAAGGCGGTGGAAGGAGAGGGTTGGGCTCCGCCTTCCAACCCAACCCCGTGCCCTGGACACTAGTCTCTACCAGACTAACTACACTGGCTATATATAGGAGAATATTTGCCAGGGGAGTTTGGCCGCCTTGTAGGTTTGACTGGCCGCGCAGTTAGTCTCGAGAAAGAAAGAAGCTACCTCCCCGCGACAGGACTCCCTTGGCCAATTTTACTCTCTTTTTTGCCGAATTCTACGATCCGTATTCCCGTAGAAATGCCTGGTGGAGGCTACCTAGACACAGCGATCAGCAACCCACCGCGTATACGGCAGAAAAACAGCTACGGAACTAACTACGAGTACTAGTACCTTTATACATTCTATGCAAAAAAAAAAACAAGCGTAAAAGCTTACGATCTTCAGGCTGAGGTTTCTCTACCATCAGGCGCTGCAGCTGTGACGGGCCCTGCTGTCCACGAGGCATGGTGAGCTTCTTCTTCTTCTTCTTCTTCTGGAGTCGCGCAGAAAAAAAAATGAGTCGATTCCCTACACACCAGCCTATATATACGAGTATAGGGGCTATTATCTCCCATGGATCCTTTGGGGCTTGTCAGTAGCAAAAGACACGCCCACAAATTTGTATATCTGGTTCGCACGTCCTGCCTGATTCTTCTTTAATTTCAACTCACAAATGCACTGAAATACAACTTTCTTCCAGAAATGAAAAAAAAACTACATGATGCGTTGATTTTAGATACTCAAACTGAAGAATCTACAACTCAGCCTCAAGCACGCCATGACTTTTAATCATGTATGTCATGCGTTTAAAAAAAACAGTCTAATACTACAAATACACGTATGTGTTTTGCGCTTTTTATTTCATTTGTGTAAATTTGTACTTCACGTGGCTTCTAAGCATCGCAGTTTACCATCATTATGGTCAGTTGGTGGTGCAGCAACATAAAAAGTTACGCTTATAAAGCTGCTCTGAGTTGAGTTCTTCGTGATACACATACACTTGCTTCAGACAGACAAACGACCTCAGTTTCAGTGACCTCTGGCCTACTTACGTGCATACAAAAGCCAAAAGCTGGTTGGACAACAGTCTCTAGATAGCTTTACCCCCCCCCCCCAACGTTTCAATGCCAGCCTTATGGGAAAACCACTTCACTTTATAGCAAAACTTTATGTTTGTCTGTCACTATATTGACACTTTTGAAACCAGGAGGAGGAGAATTTGTTATTCTTTTCTAAAAAGGTTATTTTCCTCCAACAACG